CAAGAGTTCCATAGGTAACACCACGTTGTGACAAAAGACGTTGAAAACATATGGTGTACCAAAGAGCTGATGAGGCTGGATTCTCAATGATGAAATGGCCTCCGTGTTCAATCTGAAATATGGCAACACGACAACAGAACTCCAACATTGGAAGAAACTTCTGTCTGCGCTGATCTCGCGCGTCGCGATCATGGATATTGGTCATCTGACTCCAAGGAGCACAGTGCGGCGCCATAATAAAGATGACTTTAGGCTTCTGTTTCTCGATGATCTCCATCGTTCTCTTACGACCGTCACTGGTCAAGATGTCAAATCCTGTTCTAAGGTCAATAGGTTGTCCAACACGCAAACCGTTCATGGCAGCAACTTGACTCAACCGTGCTGAACCTGCGAACAGAACAATTCTAAGAAATCAATCTTGCCAGTCATGGTGGGTTGCCATGCATAAGAGGAATATGTGAAGCCTTCTACACCGATCTGGGCTCCGTCGCTCTGGACTAGAGAGCTTGCGTGGTCAGTGACCGGAATATCGGTCCGTGCACTCTCAGAACTCAGTAGTGCAACCGGATCGAGTGGCACCTCAACATCTTCGATCGGATTGATGTCCTTGCGGACCTTGCTGATGTTGACCTTTAGGATCCTGGTGCCTAAATCTATACCAACCATACTGCCGTCAGAACTAATAACCTTGCCTTTGATCCATTTACCACTATGGGTTCCATCAGACTTTACCTTGGATTTATCTTCTGTCCAATAGTAGGTCTTATCACCAGGATAAAATGGACCATCACTCAGTTGAAGTCTCGCGGAAATGTCTCGTCTCAAATCGTCTGATTGTTTTGCTTCTAAGTAAGACTTCATGGCAAGTGTTCTGGGGGCATCTATGTTTTTCTCAGGAGAAGGAAGTGAAGCTGTAAGCTGTTCCGGTGTCATGTTCTCTGGGTACAAAAGATCTGCAGGTCGTCTTCCAAATGCCATCTCCAATGGAGATACTCCACCAAAAGTAACCATGGAGTTCCTGGCAAGTGATGCTTGTCTGAGGAGTTGACGGTACGTGATCTCGTATCTGGATGGATCCTCAGTCACGGCCTTAAGCATCAGGGTGATCTGCTTTTGTACATGCGAACAGCTGCTTCAGCTCTATTTGGCCACGGAGTACCGGGTCCTAAAGTAATCGGTCGGATATTCTTCCTATTGTAAAAGGATTCAAGTTCAATACCCATGAAACCTTGATCACCGACAAGATACTTAGGATTCAACTGGTATGTCTCAAAGTACTCCAAAAGATGGCCAATCGTTTCTGCTTCAGTCTTGCCGTTACAAACGTAAGCAGTGGTCATAGAAGTAGCGCCGTCATATATAATCAGTAAAAGAAGTTTGGACTTGTCGTTGATAGCTAGTTCACCATGATCAACAAAGGTGAGTTCTCCAAACGTTTCACTTCTCATACCTGAAATTCTTGATCTTGAAGGTGCAATTTGACCTCTGAAATGTGTCACACTGCTTAACTACCTTCTCGTACTCTTCATAGATCTTAGCAGGAATCTTCAAAGCTGAAGTACGTTTCTTGAACTGCTCAGTTGACATGTGATAGTGCTTCAAATGCAGTTTCAAGAGTTCAGTTGGATGAGACAGCTTTTCATGGATTCTCTGCAATGCTAACGGCAATGTTACAGAAACCTTAGGCGCCTTCTTCTCTCGATGAACTGTTGTTGGTATTGGTTTCACGTCTTCTCTTGATTCTTCCTGAGGATCTGGCTTCACCGGCATGTCTGGTGCTGCTGGAGGTACGTCAGGCTTATCGGCTCCTGAGCTCGAACTTGGAATCTTCGAATGCTCAAATGGCGTACCAAAATCAGGTGACTTTTCTGTCTTCCGGTATGTCGGAGGTGTCACCTTCTTGGCCGGTGGAGGCATCGAAATAAGCTTCGATGGCGGATCGACTTTGGCATCTCCACTTGCGATGTGCTTCTCTGGTTTCTTAGCCGGAATATCGGCTGCTGACTTGTCTTCCTTCACTTCGGATGTCTCTGCCTTCTTGCATCCATCTTTATATCTGTGCCTACGATGCTTTCCATTGCAGGCAGGACAAGTTGCATACGAAGGATTGATTGCAGTGAAACTGTGGTTCGGCTTACGAACTGAGCTGGCAAACATCATGATGTCTAAGACATTATGGTTCGAAGTGCTCACTGGCAGCGAAAATCGCTTCAGACCGAACAAAGGACAAGTCAAATAATCGCCGACTGGAGTATGCTCAATAGACATGCGAAGGTTCCTGAGCTGCTCAACGCTGAAAAGGATTGGAACATCGCCTTGGTCTAAGATATCTATCGCAGTTGTGATCCACCCTGTGGGTGACTGGTCGTTCTGAAAGTAGATTACCAGCTTCTCTCGGACATTGGATTGTTCACCATTCGCAAATGAAAATCGACTTGACGAAGGCTCAAAAGAGAAATCAACCTTAGATGCATTGTGGTGTCTCTTACATGCCTTCACTAGACGCATAATGGCGGTCCTTGAACCCATTGCTCTGGTACAGCCGCTGTCAATGATCACGTAAGTCGGACTGTACCTCAAGTCGATGTATTCAGAAAGTAAAGCATGGTGAAATCCATCGTCAAAGTTGACAAAAGAAGAACAGAAGCGTGGATCAATCACTTCAGAACAACCGGAATGTCGGTAGTCTGTACTGCTACCGGCAGGGTTTAGGTGATACTGATGTGAAACATGTTCTTCACCAGTCATTTCTCCTGCATGGTTTCCGTAATACCGGAAGTCGACTGGTTCATTTGGCCAGGCCTTGGCTCTGAGCTACAGTGCTCTTCATCTTGCGGTCTGTCCGTCTGTCCGTCCGCAAAGTATGTCAGACATCTTCAGGATAGTACTGGTCTGTGTGATATCCATACGAGTCCCATGACCAGTTTGCTTCATGTGCACTCCAGGTTTCTTCGGCATTAGGAGTTGGCTGAGCTGATGAAGGCTCTTCGGTGGTTGCAACATTGGATTGTTGAAAGGGATTCTGTTGCTTGCTTTTTCCCTTGCCTTTGAACGCATCTTTTCCTTTGAATCCTTTCTTTCCACCTTTCTTTCCTTTCTTGCCTTTTCCATAGAAACCTGAGTTGTCAGGGTACTCTGCATAATGCGCCCCTGCACCTTTGCCTCTACGGCTGACAAAGCCGGGTCTTCTACCTTTTCCGCGGCCTTTTCCCTTGCCGCCTTTGGATGGTTTTCTGAATCTTCTTCCATGGATTCTTCTACGGGTGTATCCTCCTTTAGCTGCTAACACCCAAAATTCGGATTCTGAGAACAAACTCACAAATCCTTCTTCGCCTGTTTCCTGATCCATCACCCAGTATCCGGATTCTTCCTCCAAGTCTCCTTCATCGAGAACAAGGAAAGTGGATCTTCTCTGCCTGCGGATCGAAGGATCGGCAGTTAATGGGCGGTTCCGCAAAAGAGATCAAGGAATAAGCCTTTGACACCTAAGTATGTGTAGTTGTTCATGTTGATCTGACGCAAGGCCATGCTGGCTACAAACCTTTCTCTTTGCTGTTCGTTGAGATCCGACTGAACTAAGAAAATAAGTGACCTCAAGTTGTCAGACAGTGGAAAGGTGTCACGATGTGCTTGGTTCAAAGCATCAATGTGTTCAGAACGGATTCTTTCTGCAGGATCTTGAAGTCCTTGAAGTAGCATGTACTGCTGTTGCGAGAGGATATCAGTAAAGTTGAAATCATCAGGCTGTGGAACAGTTGAAAGATCTAACAAGCCCATGAAGGCTTCCATGACTTTCTTACTAGCAACTTCAAAACGAGCGATCCAGCTGACAAATTCCCCGTTTCCGCGCCAGGTCCTGAAGAGCTGCATGAAACGCCAAAGAAAAACATGATTTGCTCCCTTGACAAAGTATGGGCGCAACGCCTCCTTGAAATACGTAATACCGTTTCTTTCATGACGAAGCTGCTCATTGTCGAGCATCTTTTTGTAGTATTCGGCGTTTCCGGTTAGAGCGTTCTTCAATGATGGGCCTAATTTTTCGGCGCTTAATGTGGTGATGTTCACCCAGTCATCAATCAAATCTTCAAACTCGAACCAGGATGACTGTCCATCAAATGACGGAGGAATTTTTGGCGTCATCTTGACACCTGCTGATGGCTGTGCCTCGTACGTCCGGTATGTCGAACTCGAGGACCTTGCTTGCTGATGGCGATGACGCGTGCCTTGAGCGGCGAAAGCTTCTTCTGGATCAGTTGCTTCCGACAGGCTGTCGTCATGCTCTTCATCCGTATCTATGCTAAAAAAAGGACCATGGTCTATTTGTTTTCAGACAGGTGACCTACTTGCTTGTCCCCTGCCCAGAATATTGGACGATTCGGCACGAAGGCAAAATCGACCGTTGCGAAGCAGGAGACACAAGCTCCGCTACCACTTTGAGGGGTAAGTTCCCCCAGAAGTGGCAGTTGCTTAACTCGACCTGATCGAAACACCAGGTGAAGTCACACGAATGCGATCGGTGTGCGAGCGGCAGCGATGCACACCTTTTCTATGGCTGCGGATGCAGGTATTGGGCTGCTAAGTCTTGAGCCAAATGAATTAGGTCGAAAGCGGACTGAAGAGCTACAAACTAGTCTATACAAGATAACAGGTGCTACACACGTATAGCGTAGACACGCCTAGGGGACCTAGGACCCTACCAAACACAGGGGGGGGTCCATAAGATTGATTTAATCAATTATTTGAGGTTTCTGAGGTGCGTCCACCCCGTCACTTAACTTGCTATTTTAAAGCAAGAGCAACTCCAGCTAGCTAAGGCTAGCTTTCGTGATGAATATACGCTCCCTGAGATCATCATGGGTTAGTGGAGTTCACAAACTGTTTCGTCTTCGGATTTCATGGTCATCCGAACATGGGGCCGTTTTCCATCCACTTCACTCAGGGAGTGTGTGCATTCTAAAATCACTTAAGCCAGCTCCAGTTCCAATGATTGGGGCTCAAACCAGCTGTGGATCGCCCTCTTCCTTTCGATCATCACCTGGCAACTTAGGGCGCCGACATGGAAGTAATGAAGCCTGGCAGAGTTGGATGCTTCAGAACATAACTCGCACGCCCTTACACGGGACGGGGAAGGCAATCATCAAGTCATCAAGAAGCAGCAAAAGTCTGTGGTTGCCTCCCAAGTGGGACTGGTTCAAAGCCAGTTGGGCGACCCTGGGTGGGTTTTTAGGGGTTGGAGATGGTTGCAGGGAGCTGCCAGCTTGTACAGATCTTGCTCACCGGATGTTGAAGGTACAAAGTGCAACGCCCTTGCAGGCACCACTGCGCAACTATAAGGCTATGTAGTGCTATATACATATATCAGAACCACAAGGCATCCAGGTCAGCTTTTGAGGTTCGAGGAGAGCTACGGCGAAGTCAGAAGTGTGATTCTTCGCACGTGTGTTTCAGACACTTCGAGCAAAGCGTCGCCACAAACCTCACAGATTCACAGTTCTCACGCGGCCCCTCGCACGCATTGGCCAGCCATGCGCGCACGGTCGCTGGGTCCATACATTGAAGGCCACGCGTTGCATGGATTGCTCCAATAGCAGAGAATACTTCAATCTCTCGATTCAGCGGCCAAGAGCGGCTACCTGGGTCCGAAGCTTGCCAAATTTGCCTCAATTTTACTCGACAGATAGACGTTTCCAGACGCCGGCCACTGGGGTGCCTGATGAGTCGTCAAAGAATCACTTCCTCAAGCCACACACATAACATAACAGTTGATCAAAAAGCATCGCATGCCCAAACACTCTCAGTTGAGTAGATGTATGTGACTTTATATACTTACATTGACCCTCCAAACATCTTACAACCATTCATCCATGTATGCAAATATATCCGTCACCGTCGCATGGTTTGTTTGGGTATGTGGATGCTGGAGCTGATGGGGTTTTGCTGATTCACTGATTTTGGATTGACGCTAGAGGCCTCAGATCCTTCCGCAGTGCCTGGGTGGAGGGAGACGCCTTAACCTGACGCCTAAAGCATGGAAGGGTGGTGCAAAGACCCTACAAGTGCTGCAAGATATTGCAAAAGTGGTGAAACTTCGCACACCTGCATGCCCCAGCCAAAGAGATATAGATCCATCATCCATGTCTCCACCCTTTCAGGGTTGAGTTCAGTTTTAGTTCGAGTTCGAGTTCGAGTTTGAGTTCGAGCGGGGCACACTATGGTCTGTTTAGAAACACGAAAGAATCCGCGGCGAATCCCATCGAAGCGGCGCATCCTGGTTCCAGCGCCCCCAATTCTCCCGGTTCCGGGTACCGGCAGCATCTCGGCGGCGGCACATCCAACCGCTGCCAGCCTGGGTGATGTGCGAGTTTCATGGTGAAACACGAAGAAGTACATGGAGAACGAAGAATCCTCTTTTTGTTTTGTTTTACGTTTTTTTTGTCTTTTCATGGTGGTGAAACACGGGTTGTTAAGTGACAAAAACTCAGGTGAAAAACTAGATATATATACAGAACAATCGATGATGTATAGTTAATTATGGAACATCGTCTAATATGGATGGATGGGTTTGATTTTTAGATATCTTTCTTGGGTCCAACGTAGGTAAACAGATTTCAGTCCCATGGATGGTCGGGGTATGATGATGTATGAAGCAGAATCTTAAAGGTCCCTATTGATCAAGGTGTGTAGAATCGACCTACTGTTCTAAGGGCTTGCACCTCGACGGTGAATGTCCGAAGTTTGCGGATCTTCTTAAGACCCCAGGGACCCTGACAATCCATGTACGGAAGATTTACATTCAGGCGTAAAACATCTTCAAAATCCTAATGGATCCGCCCCAGCTCGCTCGATTCTTCGGGGAACCTTTCCCCCCCCCCCCAGCTCGCTGAACCCGTCCATTCCAAATTTGACCGACCTCCCAACCTGGAACGCCCGAAGCAGAAGCCCCTCCACCCAAACAGCGACATTTTCCTCCACGCTGAGGGCGGAGTGAGCAGGCCTGGGAGTTGCCAAGTCTGGCACCAGCATCCCACTACACTTGGTGGGCTGTTTGTTGGGCTTGTGAAACGAGAAACGAGAAGGTGCACCTACCCAGAGCTTGTGCGTCGTCCAAAGAGACCTACCCTTCCTTAAGCGTTTTCCCGCAAGGCCACTTACGCAAGCACTGAACCCGAGAACACTCGATCAGATCATGAATGCTGTTCATGGAGGTTTGGGTTGCTGCTCGTATGAAATTGGGTCCCCATGTTTGATGGGACGTTTGGTCTCTAATTTGGCTTGCGTGGACTGATTCCCTCTTAGGGGCGATGTCTTAACATGTACTTAGTCTGATCCTCCTTGGTCAAAGAGCTTACACAATTCTAGTCATTTTAAGTTGCACTTTTGTCCTTCTCTGTTGATGTTTGCAAAGGATTCGGGTGTGGAAGGTGGTGGAAGGTATCCTTGGTGGTGAACACATGTCAATGTCAATGTATTCTTTTCTGCTAGTCTTGGTGACGTCCACCACAACATGTCTGCTGTATCTTCATGATACCTTACTGGCAATGCTGTGTTTTTCTTTTGCAACCTCACAAAAAGAACTCTAGCAAGACCTCTTCTCTGGCCATACCTCGATCCCTAACAAACGCAAATAATCAGTCTGAATCAACCTCCGATAACTCTAGTGTCACCCATCTAGATCAACACTTCGCCCCAAAACCACTTGCGGCAGCACCAAGGCCCTGGCCCCTTACTTAATTTCGTAATGAGCTAAACACACTATAACAATACTATAACAATACGATATAGGTAACCAGCTACTATCGTTCGCGCGATTCATTTGGTTCCGGATTTCTGGCCCCACCTGGCATCAGGGCAGCGGATGTGGTGCCGTGGGCGCCCAGTTGCGCAAGGGATCTGGTGCCAAGGCCAACCTGACTCATCGGCCGCAGTCGGACGTGTGGAAGGACCACGTGCGAACGGTGAACGGATGCGAAACAGGTGGATGAAACGGATGCTTGGCGTGTGCGTATGGTTTGTAGATGTTTGATGATGTTTGTAGCATGTGTGGAAGGAGACAGTTGCAAAGTCACACTGACTCACATGGCCTTGCTCAAAAGAACAGGCTTTCTTGGAGCAAGCCACTTGTTTGAGCCACTGAGGTTTCAGGCCAGAAAGGCTGGCCACTGATCACGATCTCTTCTTGAGCTGGGTCACAAGATCGGGCAGTTTGGGTGACGTATGTTATCTAACCTTCACAGCTACAGTAAATCTCAGAATGATTCCCAATCCCTCTGCTAGAAGGGAGACTGACATACAATGTTTGACGGGCTCCTCCCGTTTTGGAAACGAACCCGCAGCACGGCTGTAGGACATGCTTGGACAAATTTGCTGAAACTGTTTGAATAAGTAAGTAGTTTTGAGAAAGCCATGGACCCACCGCCAAATGCTGTATGCGATTCGATGTGAACACATGAAGAAAGAATTGTGAAACCATTTCGACCCCCTGGAAGAAGGACAATAGACCAGCCTACTGCCCAGCCAGGGCCAGTGTGTCACCCTATTTAAAAAACAAATATAATATATATATATATATATTCCTCTTGAGAAACACCAGAGACCTCAACATCCATCACCGCCAGGCCGCTGGTAACGCTTGGGTAGCTTCACCGCTTGAACCGCCTGCTCTGCCGCCACCTTATTCGAAATCGCAGGGCATCCAGCCCGCCCGGTTCGCTTCGGTGGCCGACGAGGGAAGAGGGACGACCCTGAGGGACACGCCACGCGAAGGAACGGAGTCATGGCGCACTTGGTACTGCTGATAGAACAGAAGTGCGCCATTCAGTATGCTGTGTGGAAAATCTCAGGCGTATCAGTGCGCGACAAAGGCAGGATACTGGAAGCAACCGCCAAGGAGGTCCCGGATTGAAAAGCTCAGGAGATGTCCAGGATTTGATCGCCTTTTTGTGTTCATGCTTAAATTGTCTGCTCAATATCTCTGGACTGTGGCATTTCAGATTACTATCTATATCTGCTTTTGAAGGATCCAACCTCTGGAGAACCTGCTCAGCCAAGCTGGATGCACCACCTGGACACACCAAACATCACCAAACTCAACCCACAGGCAGTTACAATGGCACATCTTTGGTGGGTGGCTACTTCTGGGTGTTCCCAGATGTCTTCCAGCGGCTCATCTTCCATCTTCCCACTTCATCCTCTTATCCGTCCCATCAGCCGTCCGCCTGAGCATGCTCCATGAAGCCTGCCGTGCGCGTCGTCGGGTGTTAAGGGGTGAGTCGTCGGAGAACTGGGCCGGCTTCCGTGGACCAAGTCGTCGTCTACCCAATGTCTCCTTCTCCTGAGAAGTTTGACGGCATGAAATGAGAGTCATACAGTCATACAAGTAGCACTACGACACTCGATGAATCTCTAATCATGATGATGATGTTGGAACATGTTGGGTCCAGGGGAGATCCCAAAAAAAACACTTGGCACCGACACCCTCTGGGCAACGCGGAAGAAAAAATCAACAGAACGGCCCTCGGCTCAATGGGGAACACGTCCTAAAGGCTCCAACCATATCCGCAGGTGGATAGACCCCCTGGCACCTACCCCAACCTTCCAAACGGAGGTGGGCCAGGAACCCTAGGGCATGTTCCAATTCTGGGAACGACGCAATCCATTCGCGAGTCTTTATTCTGGATCTCATGAAACTGACTTGAGGATCTCATGAAGCCACGAAGGTAAGGGAAGCTGAGTTAGTTAGAGAGGCAACAGAAGCCGCACCGCACCACTTGAGAAGTATCATCCCAATAACTCGAATCCCACCAAGGAGTAACAGGACTACTAAACATGCTATGGGCACTTCCTGTGGTTCTCGGGGCGGATGTCAACACTTCTGTGTCTGTGAGTTTATGTTGAATCCAACAACCACCAAGAATCCCGCGGTGAACCGCGACCGTCCAAGCCTCCTAAGCTCAGCATCCCCAGAGGCTCTGGGAGGGCGGTGGAATCTCGGTCCAAAAAGCACCCGCTGCCAGGGTTCTCCGCCATGCACCAACACATAGACCACCATGGTTCTCGTGTAAACCACACCCGCGGGAAGTCGTTTCACCACCACCGCGGGTTTCGTCGTTGTCCAGGCCGACCGGTTCGGCCTTCGTCTTCGCTCTTTTTGAGGCTGGCCCTGGCAGCATCCAAATGTTCTTGGGAGGTGAGCTCCTGTGCGGGCGCAACCACGCACCCCGGCGGTCCCGTCACCTGAACTCCATGTGACATGCCTGTGCACAGGAGCTCGTGCACGTCACGTCTCTGTAATCAAGTGTTTGTGTCCAGGCGGTCGTCCTCAGGTCAATATGATGATCAATATGATGATAAACGAAGGACTGCTTGATAGAGATCTGTTCTGCAAGTCAGGCACGTCAATTGATCCAATCGTGTGCCATGCTCATTTCCGCTTCCACTTCTAGACTTGGATCCGTGTTTGAGGGTACAACTCCCAAATGGATCCAAATGGTGGCTACTCCACTCCTCTCCACCTCTCCACTCCCTCCACCGGTTCTCCTCCGCCTCTGCGCGCCGTTGCAGCGCTTGGGCGGAGCGCTCGACGATCGCCGCGCGCGAGGCGTCGCCCCGGTGACGGAGCACCGAGGCCTGCGGAGGCTGGTGCACTCCGACGAAAACATGACATGAGGATACATGAGGGTTCTTTTCCCCTGCTTCTTGCTGCTAGTAGCGATGCACCGAGCATTACTACTATAGTAGCAAATAGCCACGTTCGTCGCTTCTTGTTCCTAGTAGTAATGCCCTTGTTACTAGTAGCAAAGCACTTGTTACTAGTAGCGATGCACCTTGCTACTAGTAGCTTCTTGCTGGACACTCCACTACCCCTGTTTGTAAAGGAAAGAAGTCTTCCTTTCGGGGCTCCATCCACTTCCATGTGCTGTGCTCGTCAGAGTTTGGGGATCTTCATCCCGGTTTCATTCGCGCCCCAATCGTCCCCAAAAGAAGTAGAACAAACACAGTGTTGTGCATAAGAGATGTACCCAAGCCAGACCGGGTGAACCAAGCAAGTGAACCAAGCATCTCCGGACATTCGAGGAAGACGGAGCGAGCAAGCATGACCATCAGATCTTTCATGGACCATCTGTCATCTACAGTATCCCATAGACTCCATGTATGGAATATATGCCTACATTGACCCCCCCAAACCACCTCAATGTAGGCATATATGGCCCTATATGGCACACATGGAGCATCTGGGTATGTCATATGTTTTAGTTCCAACGACCCCGATGCACCTTCTGAACATCTGTCACCAGGGAAATCCTTCCCTCCCAGCGCCACACCGCTGCTGCTCCCATCCACGCCACT